CTAACACGGAACGTGGCCTGCAATCTCGAACGGCAAGACACGAAGGCGGAGCCACGCGTGGATTCTCCGGGGCGCACGCCGAGGCACAGCAGACACGAGCCCCCGCGCCGCTGAGCAGAAGGACAGCTCCAAGCCTCCCGGTCCCCTCCCAGACCCTATCACCGAGGGGAGGGAACACTCTCCTGAATTTTGTGTCACTCGTTTATTTGCTGAGTCTTTTCCTTTTCAGTTTAGTAGCAGTCTTTAGTTAAAAGAAATCAAACACAGACGCACAAACACTTGTACACTAAACAGACAAAACAGTCTGTGCAAGCACGCCTACATGCGAGGCAGCCCGGCCTCCATTTCTCCCCCTAGAGGCGGCAGAGAGGCTCTCTGCGGATCGCGGGTGGAGCGGCGGCTTATTTGCATACCCACAGTGCATTGCGCAGAGTATAAGTTAAAAGGGTAAAATTTTTAAAAACTAATTCGTACATATTTGGTTAAAAAATATATTTTTTATTTTACAAAATAAGATAAAGATTTTTCTCGAGCTTCAGCATCTGGGAGTTAATTAGCCACCATCAATGCACTGGGAGTTTTTGTTACCCGAGTGGGAGCCATGGCGGCACCACGTCATACTCTGGTTTCTCTTCAGATCGTATAAATCTTTCGCCTTTTACTAAAGATTTCCGTGGAGAGGAACAATTCTGAGTCTTAAACCAATTTTTTGAGGCCTTGCTCTGGCAGGGCTACTATAATTTGTGTACAAAAATAGGTGTTTTTGTTGGGAGTTTGTATATATGGGTGGGGTTTTTGTGTTTACCTGCGTGAGGTCTGCTCTGGTGTCCACGTGGTAGTGGGTTTTTGCTGTTTTCCAAGTTGGGCTTTTCCGGTGTTCTAAGTAGTTTTTGGCATTAGTTTTTTCCTTTTTTTTTTCGGGCTTAGGTTTCTTCAGGCTTAGGGTATCGTATTACAGTTTGCTTTGTACCTCCATTAAAGCGCCTCCTGGGGTCCTGTGGCTCACTAGGCTGTAGGTAGTCAGTCAGTGACCTGTTGCTTCTTCAGTCCTTAGGGTACTCAGAGGTAAAGTCGCGCGTTCTTGTTTTTTTTGTTTGTTTGTTCAAAGAATTATTTAACTTTATTCATTTACTTTTAGTTTGACCAGAGAGAGAGAAGGTGAGAAAGCAAGCCACTAAGTCCAGGACCTGAACCGAGATCGACCATGTGGGAACGTCCAGCGCCTTAATCGCCTTAATCACCATTATCTTTTTCGATGTTTAAAACTTTTAAACCCTGGGGTTGATACTCTTTTTCTTTAGCCTGATTTTTTTTTTTTTTTAAGTTTGCTAGACAGGGCATTTTCTAGAGAGAGGGAGACCACCCTCAGTGCGTCCTGGTCTCTCCTCAATTTCTTCCCCTTCTTCCTATTGCACACACCTGCGAGGGAGAGAGCAAGCCCACAGTGGGCCAGCGGAGAACTAGCAGCTGGCATGGTGGTTCCAGGACTAGCAGCTGGCATGGTGGTTCCATCGCTGGATTCTACAAGGCGGTTTGAGTCCCAGAACCAGTGTCTTGAAAATCATGCTGCAGGGGGCCGGCAGGTGGCGGTAGTTAAGGGCACTGGACTCCCCCATGGCTGACTGCGGTTTGAGTCCCAGGCCTGGCAGCTTGCTTTCTCACTTTCCTTTCCTCGCTCTCTCCTTCTCTTGCTGTCCCTCCCTAGTCAGATTAAAATTAAATAAATAAATAAAGTTAAGTAAAATAATTATTTAAAAAAGAAAATCATGCAGGCGGGACCCTCAGATGGCGATGGTGGCTGACTCACCCTCTGAGCACATGTGTGTACGCATGCCTATAGTCGCTGGAGAGGGGGGATTGAGGCATGGCCACCCTCCAAGAGCATGCCGTATATGTGCATGCATGCCCCAAATCCAAGAGCAGAATGGAGGAGAAATAAAAGCAAGCCGCCAGGTCTAGGACCTGAACTCCAGCACCCAAATGCCCCCCCTCTTTTTCAAAGAGAGATTTTTTTGCTATAGGACAAGTGTAGTCACCAGAGACAAAGTGAGAAATTACCCCCTGGAGGAATGGCCACATCATCCCTTCTCCATTTTCTTGGGGTCTTGGGCTCACGTGCCTAGCAGGAGCTTCAACCTGACGGGGGTCTGGGATCCCAACTGCAGTAGACCACAAAGGAGTCCAATGCCTTAATGCCCATGCCACCTGCTGGCCCCCTGGTGTGTTTTCAAGCCAGCAAGGCCAGAATTTGAACTGTGGGATCCAATTCTATTAACCACTAAGTCATGGGACCAGCCCTATTTAAAATCTCAAATATAGAGGCTAGCAGGTGGTATAGCAGTTACATCACTGATCTCCCACATGGCTGACTGGTTTGAGTCCCGGACCCGGTGGCTTGAGACTCACACTGGGTGCATGTGTGTGGGCCCAAGATCCTGGGAGGAGACTGGAGGAGAAGGGATTGTGGCATGGCCATCCCCCACAGGGGTGATTTCTTAGTTTCCTGCTCAGTGTCTGTCTCTCTCTGGCAAGCACACATGCCCTAAGGCAAAAATTACTTTTAAAAAATCTTAAATATACTTTTCTGTTTTGTTTGTTTTAGCTATTGTTTCAACAGAAATTTTTGGGTACTTAACAAGTTGATTTTAAATTTTACTGGGACCAGCAGTTAGCGTAATGGCTATGTCACTAGACTCCCATGTAGTCAACCATGGTTCGCGTTTCGGACCTGGTGGTTTAAAATTCACGCCGGGCGCGTGTGCGTGCGTGCCCAAGATCCCGAGAGGAGAATGGAGGAGAAGGGATTGCGGCGTGACCATCCCCCCTGGGGGGTGATTTCTCGCTTTCTGTCTCTCTGTCTCTCTCTGTCTGGTGAGTACACACGCCCTATAGCAAAAACCTCTCCAAAAAAAAAATTAAATTTACTCTAAGGGACCAGAGAGTGGTGCAGAGGGTGAAGTGCGATCCTTTGTGAGGCAATTCCACATGGGAAGGTCCCTGGTCCATGCCCAGAGGCCTCCCTGAGCACACCAGGGATGCTCGTGACTAGGTGCAGGTCTGGCTGAGGCGGGGTGATCGCAGTGGGAAGACCTCGAGGGAGGGGCTGTCTCTGTCTTTCCCTCTTTCTTGAATGCACGTGAGTTCATGAAATAAAAGTTAAAACAGAAGTCATTTGGAGAAGGAGAAGACCTAGAATAGCCCTTCCTGAGGCCCCGCACAGGGGTGTAACTCCCCACGGCTAGTGTCTCATGTCCCACTGGGCATTGCCCTTCTCCCTCGGCGTGGCTGTCCTCCCGCACTGGAAGCTCCTCCCAGCTCTTCTTCCTTGCAGCCCCTGCCAGGGCCATGGAAACAGTGGGTCCCAGGAAGTGAGGAAGGCCTCACAGGAAGTGGTCCAGAGAGTGCCAGTCCTCCCTGGGAGGACGCGGTCAGTGCCTGCCACGGGCCAGCGAGACGCACATGAGAGGAGAGGTTCTAAGGGAGCTGGTCAGAGCTATCACGCTGGTGCCACGGTGGTTAAGGCGCTGGACTCCCACATGGCCAACCATGGTCTGAGTCCCGGACCTGGCAGCTTGCTTTTTCACTTTCCCTCTCTCTCTCTTGCTCTGTCCCTCTCTGGTCAAATTTAAATAAAAAACTAAAAAAAAGTTAAATAAAACAATTCTTTTTTAAAAAAAAAAAAAAGAGAGAGAGAGAGAGAAGCAGCTGCAGCTATCATGTACTCTAGTCTTCCCCACCCAGAGGCAGTGCGGAGGCTCCGTGTAGAGCAGAGCTTCTGTGTGGTTCCCCCTGGCGAGCTCCCTGGGAGCCCATGCAAGATCCCAGGGAGAGCCCAGGGCGAACCTGAAGGCTGGCAGGACGGTGCAGGCCTGTAATCCCAGCCACTCAGGAGCTGAGGCAGAGACTTGGTGCTGGAGGCCAGCCTGGGTGCATAGCAACACCCTGTCTAAAGAAGCATCTGGAGGGACCAGCAGTTAGCGTAATGGTTATGTCACTGAACTCCTGTGTAGTCGACAGTGGTTCGCGTCCTGGACCCGGTGGCTTAAACTCATGCCGGGTGCGTGTGCGTGCGTGCCCAAGATCCTGAGAGGAGAATGGAGGAGAAGGGATTGCAGCGTGGCCATCCCCCCTGGGGGGGTGATTTCTCGCTTTCTGTCTCTCTGTCTCTCTCTGTCTGTCTGGTGAGCGCACGCGCCCTATAGCAAAAGCCTCTTAAAAAATAATAATAATAAAAAATAAATTAAACAAAAAAGAAGCATCTGGAACTCTATTTCTGTAGTCCCAGCTGGGAGGCTGAGGTAGAGGGCCACAACACAGTGCGACCCTGTCTGAGAACAATAAATGAGACAGGTCCAGCGTGCTCGTGAAAGACAGGCAGATAGAATGAGAGCCAAATGCTACACACGCGCCCACGTGCACACACCTGCCACATTTGCTGCACACCGTGAGGCTCGTGGTCACTTGTGCCTTCCACACAGAAGTGCCACTGTCCAGTCAGTCCTTGCAGCCAGGACTGTGGGTGCTGACAGGCCACCACTGTGCAAACCGTACCTCCAGACGGGGACCTCCCTTCAGCAGTGGGGCCTCGCTCTGGGTTTCTTCAGGGAGCAGAGGTCCCTCCTGCTGTCAGCCTGTTGCAGCCCCGGGGGGCCGTCTTCCTCCCTGAGCACGAACTCATGCTGCTTCTCGTCCTCCCTCTACACAGGGAAGCCCCCAGGAAGTGAAACAGCGCTGCCCTTTGAGCTGAAAATCCTGGGTCTTACCCAACACAGGGCACCCTGCCACCAGCCCCACTAGCCGTGGGGAGTTACACCCCTGTGCGGGGCCTCAGGAAGGGCTATTCTAGGTCTTTTCCTTCTCCAAATGACTTCTGTTTTTAACTTTTATTTCATGATCTCGTGTGCGTGCAAGAGGGAAAGACAGAGACAGTCCCTCCCTCGGGGTCTTCCCACTGCGATCACCCCGCCTCAGCCAGACCTGCACCTAGTCACGAGCATCCCTGGTGTGCTCAGGGAGGCCTCTGGGCATGGACCAGGGACCATGTGGAATCGCCTCACAAAGGATCGCATTTTACCCTCTGCACCACTCTGCACCACGTATGCTGCAGAGAATACGTGTCGCTTCCGAGAGTTCAGGCCCCACATCCCACGCTGACCAGTCAGGAGGAAACACGAGGACAACGCACACCACAGGTCACTCTGCAGGGCCTCTCGGAAATGCCATTGTCATGGGGACGAGGAAGGCGGGGGCCATCCCAGAGCAGGGGGTCGAGGGGGAGTCAGGAGCAAGGGCGAGTCTAGGCTGGGCCTTGGGTCACAGAACCACAGCTGGGAGGACATTGGCAGGGCAGCTGGGGACACACGATGGCATGTGACGTCCATAAATTAGGTCACGGTATTGACTCCTGTTTTATAATTTGCTACAAGGCATATATGAGAGCAATAGAGACAGAGGGAAAGTGAGAAAACATCCCCCAAGGGGAGGGCCATGCCACAGTCCCCTCTCCTCTGTTCTCTTGAGATTTGGGGCACACACACGCACCCAGAGTGAGTTTTTTTTTTGGGGGGGGGGAGAAGTTTTTGCTCTAGGGCACGTTCACTCACCAGAAAGACAGAGACAGAGAGACAGATCACGCCCCAGGGGGGATGGCCACGCCGCAATCCCTTCTCCTCCATTCTCCTCTCAGGATCTTGGGCACGCACGCACACACACCTGGTATGAGTTTAAGTCACTGGGTCCGGGACTCGAACTCTCAAACTGAGGTCAACTATATGTGGTCGACGTAGCCATTATGCCAACGGCTGGTCCCCTAGAGTGTGTTTTCAAACAACTGGGTCAAGGACTTGAATTGCATAGTTGACCATCCAGCTGCCTTAATCTCCATGCCACTGTCTGCCCCCATTGACTCAATTGATAATAATAGAGATAAAAGTAACTTTTTTTCCATAGGGTTTATGCACTCCCCAGAGAGAAAGAGACAGAGAAATAATTAGAAGGGAAGTGAAAAATCAGCCCCCACCTGAGGGATGGTTTTGCTGCAATCCCTTCCCCTTCATTCTCCTCTTGGGATTTTGGGCATGCACACACACATGTCCAGCATGAGTTTTAAGCTGCCAGGTCCAGGTCTTGAACTGCAGTCGACTACGTGGGAGTCCAGTGACGTGACCATTGCACCATCTGCCGGTCCCCTAGCAGTGTATTTTTCGAACACCCAGGGCCAGGACTCAAACTGTGGTCATCCATGTGGGATCTGGCTCCTCAGTCGTGGGGCTGATCCAACCCATTGTTGTGAAAGCCAGAGAGTGCCTGAGTTACAACCCGGCCTCGATCGCATTCCCCGGGCCTGTCCCGGGTGGCGGTTGAAGACTGACCAGGAGCGGCCAAGGAGCCCTGGTCGGTCAGCTCACTGTCACTTCAGCCAGCCAGGAAGACCCAGGGACCAGGCTGTGGCGGCCGTGGTGTCATCGTGACATCTCCCACAAAGGGGGTCCTGCACCCCTCTGCTACCCCGTCACCCCACCCCGCTTCCTAGCCAGCTCCAGAGTAGGTGCCCCCAGCAAGTTGTTCCTGCCGAGGGGAGCACCTGGGGACAGGGCTCAGGTCCTCTTCGTGGGTTTCTAGCAAATTAGAATTTCTCTCAGGGAGGAAATGAGGGGTCCGTTTTTTCTTCTTCTTCTCCTTAATGGCCCCTGATGAAGGAAATGAGTCGGGGAAGGGATCAGAAATCCGACCCACCGCTCCACAGCGGAAGGGAAGGGTCGGGGCTCCCTGCTCCCTCGGAGGGCAGCTGGCACAGCATGTTTTATTATATAATTAACCTTGACCCTTCCGGGTTCAAAGGGAGAGGTTAGTTGGAAATAAATCAATAGGTCTGGTCTGGTCACTTCAAAGGCTTCAGAACCTGCTGGAAAATTCCATGTTGGTTCAACGTGTAAATTGGAATAGGGTGTGCGATCCTCTTTGAAAGGCGGCGGGGAGGTTGAGGTCTAAAATCGGAATTAATCGTGTATCCGCTTCCTCTAATCAGGCCATCAGGAGTCTATATTGTGTACCTGTTGGGGGGACAGGGAGGCTGGGAGAAGGCACGGTGACCTCAAAGTGACCGCCGGGTGGGCCGCAGGACGATGGGCCATGCATGCTCTGAGCCCGGGGTTCCTGGCGTAGGGGCCGAGTCCGCACAACAGTGGCGTTCGTGGAGTGCGTGCTGGGCACCGGGTGCCATGGACTTCCAGGCACTTTTCATGGGGCCCGTGAGAGGCCGGTTAGATCAGTGCCCTATTACCTCTGTCACGGTGCAGGAATGGGGCCTCAGAGGGGCGAGGTAGCAAGTCCAGAGTCACTCTGAGGTTTCCAAGTCACTTCCAGTGCCAAACGCAGGGACGCAGCCTGAGCACAAACTGCAGATCGCCCAAGGTCTCGGTCCACGCACACCTCCCCGAGGGAGCTGGGGCTGCTTCCTCTCCACGTCTCTCTTGGCTTTGTCTCTCATTTATCTCTCACCTCTTTCCTTTTTTCCTCTCCTGCTCTCTGCCCACATTTACTTAGAACTTAGAGCTAGCCTCTGGTGCACTGAGGCTCATTAAAAGAGAAGAAAGAGGGACCAGCAGTTAGCATAATGGCTATGTCGCTGGACTCCCACGTAGCCGACTGCGGTTCGAGCCCCGGACCCGGTGGCTTAAACTCACGCCGGGCGCATGTGCATGCGTGCCCAAGATCCTGAGAGGAGAATGGAGGAGAAGGGATTGCGGTGTGGCCATCCCCCCCAGGGGTGATTTCTCGCTTTCTGTCTCTCTGTCTCTCTCTGTGTCTGGCGAGCACACGTGCCCTATAGCAAAAACCTCTCCAAAAAA